TGCCTATTATCGTGCTTGTAAAGTTAATTACTAGACTTCAACCTTTGTGTAAGGAATTTGCGAACTTCTAAACAAATCTGTTTCTTGCATCTTGGTTGATTTGTTTGGTCAGGCATAAATTGACTGATTCTATCTCATGATGTTGATTTATATATGCTCCCTCTCTCCTTGCGACCAGGAGATAGCCACGGGCCCGCGATGTATGAATCCTTTCACGCGTCAGAGTTTATTTTCATTAATAGCAGTAGGCCTATACTTGACCTTCTAATATTTCATCTATCTACTTAGTCTATATAGTAAACCAACTAGAGCATAGCTAAAAAAAATCTAAGTTATTTACTGAGGTCGAGTTTGAAGTCCAGCCAAGATGTTAGACGGGGTAAGTTTTGTTTTTTTTTACTTTTTCTCAAACATGTTTTACGCTTCATTGTTGTGAAACTTCGTGAAGTGGTTAAGATTTAAGCAATACTGTTCGGCTTGCAAACATGTTTCGATTTCGAACTGCAAACTAGCATATCTACGTATTCTTTCGCTGCATCTGGGCGACTGAAAGCTTTATGAATGTATTTCGTTCATTTGATACGCCGTGGAACTAATTGGCAGAAAGGGAGTTGAAAGAAGAAACCATGGGAACAATATCTTGTAACGCAGACTCGGGTTGATGACGATTCAAAGTAAGTGCTTAGATCTGACGCAGTGGATATGAGTGATGCTCTATCCGAAAAAATGATTAAAAGCTGCGATCAACTCACAGATTCAGAAAATAGAACACGAGCAACCGGCGTTGGCTCAGTCCTCGGTGGACTATATCCAGCGAATGGTCAGATTCTCCAAAATACCAGCAGTTTAAGTCATAAAAATCCAATGGCTTTTTCGGTTTCCCGGGGTTTTTAAAATATAAGAAAAGAAATATATTATCTATGAATCGTTAATATCTTTTCTATATATTTGCTGGGTGTGGTCAAATTTCAATTTCAATACTAGAACTGTACTAATAACAGAACTGATGCAGGGCGTGTTCGGGTACATACGAAGTTGGTCTATTGCAATTACATGGATGTAAGTACTTTTCTGCATCTCTAAATGCAAATATCCAAAAGTGCCTGGAGTTGACGAACTTTCTGATAGAAATTGGGGAGAATGGTACTTTAACGGACAAACTCAGGAATTTTATCTATACTGACATCTCATTAACCAACTTAAATTTGATACCACAATGTTAAACGAATGTAATTTTTAAATATGCATGTTACATAGACATGTTGTATATCACTGGAAAGCTCAGAATCTCAGTATTATGAAAGAATTATTGCTATATCACTATTAGGCTACGAGATACAGCACTGCAAAGGTTCAAAATGGACCATTTTTAAACCCCTATAAAATCGAAAATGGTTGTCTGAACCCAAAGGTCAAAAGGTCATCAGATATTCAAGGTCACAATTTATCATCATAGTAAATATGAAGGTCACAAAAGGTCCGCTAGTTGATCACGTGACTTCATTCGTTGGATTATATTCTAGCAGACGACACTTGGAATTCCGATTACCGCTTGGGATTATAATGAAATTCGGCCGATAAAAAATGGTGACGTTTTGGTAATAAGTGAAATCCGCCATTTTGTATTTGTCANAGTATACATTAATACATTTTATCATGCTTGAAATTACTGAATTCATTCTATTAGCTGACATTGTAGAGAAAACCCATGTTTATTAAAACAAACTAATGCG